TCTAATGTTTAAGGACTTGATGCAAAGAAAAACTGTATACTTAAAAAGTATGAACAGACTTCTTAAATTCACTACATTCATATGCAAACATATCTGTACTATGAAATCTTAAGAGGCAGAAAGCTCAAATTTAAGAAGAGCAGAGAAAGGAAGATAATCATATCCGCTATTGTCATTTGCTGTTTTATTCCTAATTTGATTTTAAAGCACTCAGATTACGGTAAATTTATACACCAGTGGCACAGTTAAAGTTGGGTTTCTGTTCAGTTTATACAATACATTAATACCCAATTACCTTGAATTAGATAACACTGTCATATATAAATTGATTATAGTTTCTCTTTTTTTTTCTTTTTTTTTGAAACTGTTATCCACAGAATGTGCACACCAAAAAAGTATTGGTTTTACATTTTTACAGTTTTACCAAAACTGCCCAGCTGGGTTACTAGATTAAAGATAATAATAATTTAAAAATGTATTTTAGAAAGCAAACACAATTTTCAGTCATATGATATGAAAATGTTCCATTCTATGTAACTCCTACTGCCTACTTTCAAAAAATTCCCTTGTTCTGAAGTCAGTTCACTGGCTATTAGAAATAGTCACTGATGTAAATTCCATCTTGTTTATGAAAACATTTTGAACAAAGCACTGGTTGTCCAGGATTTATATAAAAAAAAGTTAAAACCTATAAAATGTTGGCATCGTTACTATTTGGGGCATGAGAATGACATGCATATAAATTATAGTTTACTGGCACAGTCTTTTATAAACAGAAAGAAGGCTTTGCTGAAAATGGAATTCATCAATGTACTGTAATTCCCCTCTTTTATAGATATTGCTTTTAGGGAGAAAATCTAAAGCAAATCTTAGACCTACTCTACAGTGGGAATGAGGGGTACAAGAAGTCTTTGATGATATAGGTTGACTATTGTAGAGAGGAGAACTAATATACAAGCACATGGAGTCTGGGGAAATCAGATGGTTGCAAAGGCCCTAATTGTGAAGCTTTGGGAAGGGAGGTCATTTATGTAGCTGATGTCCCTCCATGTAATCTCAGCTGCATCTCCATTTGCCCTGTAGTTCGTTGCTCCTTTTTGTAGGAAAGCATCCTGCTATTACCATTTAAGAGAGGTAGCAGTTTAGTAAGGGCTTTCACAGGAGGACTCTTTCCCTTCCTACACAAGATGAGGTGGGTAAAAAAGAGGCTTTTACCCACCACACTGAACAATATTTAGCAGTGTAATTTGTTGTTTTAAAATGGCATCCTGTTATGAAGTAAGTGTTCAGGTCTCATTGCAGAAAGTGATGATCTAATTCTCTTGGGTTTTAGGGATAGCACAGTCTTAGTAACAGGAAGATTGTGAAGGTACTGGTCACCTAATCATTCTTTGTATACTTAGTTTAAAGTAACTGGTTTTTAGAGTTTTTCCTCTGTTAGAACCTATAGGATATGCCCTGCTGGATGGCAAGATAAATCAACTTTGCAAATTATACAGGGACATTCAAGCTAGTGTAGACCGTTAGTCTAGTTGCTGGGTCCTGCACTTGGGGCACAACAACCCCATGATACACTATAGAAGGAGTGGCTGGAAAGCTGCCTTGTGAAAAGGGACCTTAGGGTATTGGTTGACAGCTGTCTGAACACGAGCCAGGAGTGTGCTCAGGTGGCCAAGAAGGCCAAGAGCATCCTGGCTTGTATGAGAAATAGTGTGGCCAGCAGCACTAGGGAAGTGATTGTCCCTCTGTGCTCAGCTCCGGTGAGGCCGCACCTTGAATACTGTGTTCAGTTTTGGGCCCTCACTATGAGGACAGAAAGGTGCTGATGCATGTCCAAAGAAGGGCTATGAAGCTGGTGAAGGGTCTAGCAAATAAGTTTTATGAGGACCAGCTGAGGGAGCTGCGGTTGTTTAGCCTGGAGAAAAGGTGGCTCAGGGGGACCTACAAAGGAGATCTATGCACTCTACTATGTCCTGAAAGGAGGAAATAGTGAGGTGGGGATCAGGCTCTTCTCCCAAGCACCAAGTGATAAGATGAGGGGAAATGGCCTCAAGTTGCTCCAGGGGATGTTTAGGTTGGATAATAGGAGAAACTTCTTTACTGAAAAGGTTGTGAAGTATTGGAACATGCTACCAAGTTGAGTCAACATCCCTGGAGGACTTCAAAAACATTTAGATGTAGTGCTTAGTGACATAGTTTAATGGTGGACTTGGCAATGCTACGTTAATGGTTGGACTGGATGATCTTAGAGGTCTGTTCCAACCTAAATGATTCTATAAGCCCCTAGCATGGAGAACCTCATACTTGCATTGCTCCTGTTCTAGACAGCTAAAATGTCACTAAAGTTACACCAGAGTAAAACAAGAGAAACAGCAGTGAACCAGTCCAAAAATCCTCCCAGATAATTCTTTCCTTTTAGTTTTCCAGTAGCAAATCATTGGCAGCCACCAGGGATCAATGCTGTAACTAGCCTTAAAGTGCTGCACTAAAGTGCAAAAGCTCTAGCAATCCAAGTACTATTCTGTTAAGTCATTCTACTGGACTTCAAAGCTTGTGGGTGGGATTTTCCCAAGTGAAAAATACGGCAATGCCACAAGCCTAAGTCCTTACAATTTCTTGGAATTTTAGTAATAGCCATAAAATTTGCTGTTGGCACCTGAATATTTAGAAGCACTAAGCAAATTAAACAATCAAACCTCAGTCCTGCAGCTCTTCTCCCCATATGATACTCATTAAAATAAATGTGGTAAAGAGTTTCATGAATGAATTCCAGAAATTTCAAGTAGAAATGCCTAAAACCAGGTTCATATAAATACACATATAAATGCTCATTTTCCAATTTTATTGAGTTTCTGAAAATTGCAAATGCTAGAGCTTTTGGAAGAAAAAAAATCAAAACATTATATTTAGGTCTTTAATCTGAATTAGGGCCTGCATTAAAACCATTTTCTGGAATTGTCCATCGTAGGGGTCACGACTAGTCCTGTGAATACTAAAGGAGGCAAGGTCTGTCAGTCCCACTACATTCTAAGTTGATCCTAATTCTCTGGAGCTAAAATACCATAGGAGAGATGATTAAGAAGATGTACACATGGGTAAGGTGTCCTCTGTTCAGTCAAGTTTGGAAATTTGGCCCCCAGACTGACATGGGACATTCCCACTGGAAGCACATTATCACCATTCATCTTATTGAAGTGGTCCATCACTGATCGCATGGCACAGATCTTTTATGACCTTGCCTATAGTAAATAATATCATATGTAGAAGAAAAAAAAAAAGTCAAGGAAAAAAAAAAGAAATGTTGGAGATCCGCAAACTATGTAAAAAGGCTATCAAAATCACAGCCATTTTAACAAGAGCTTGGCAACTTGTAGAGTGATTGCATGCATACAGAAGACATGCCAGCTTGTCTGCACACACAGCATGCAATATCCAAAGTCAAAAATGTCATTTTCCAGCCAAGAATTCTTCATTTAAAGTAGACAATGAACAAATCACACAATTTTGCTTGTGGCTGTCTTCTCTAGTGTTCAAACATATTTTTAAGCCAGGGGATATGTTTAGGAGAGCCAAAACTATGCAGAATTGGTCCTGAGAGAGAGAGAGACAGCCTGATGCCTTGAAAACAATATGTCATGGAGACAGGAAAGAGGTCTAATCATCAGGACAAGACTTATGTATGTATTAGAATATCCTGTGCATCAGGGAATGTGTAACTCGGCCACACTGTCATCTACTGGCTAAACCCAGATCACTAAAAAAGATAATATATTCATGCTGTTTTCATTCTTTGTTGCTCAACTTCAGACATTTCAAAAGAATCATATTTTCAAACGGCCCTTCTCCTTCATTCCTTCTCCTCTCTGCCCTGAATTCTTTTAAAAACCATAAAAGCAGAGTCTTTATGACTATCAAAACTTCATGATGCTTACTCCCTTAAGACCTCTATCACAGTCAAGGAAAAGTTTCTAGGTGGGGAATTTCAATCACTTTAATATATTGCCAGTTAGCAAACTTTTAAACTTCTAATTGCATTATGATATTAAAAAAGAAAAAGAAGAAAAAAAGAAAGAAAGAAAAAAACAACCACCATCAACAAACAAACACACACTTGGGAAAAACATCTCAGCTCCCCTCCAGACAAATTCTGGTCTCCAGTCCCCTCACCTCAGGGAGGCCAGGGGCTGTGTGGGAGGAAGGGGTCAGCAGATTGAGCTGCTTTTCTTTTTCAGCTCCTTGTTTCACACTCAGCTGCTCCAGTGTGGGTTCCTCCACCCATCAGAATCAAACCTGCTTTCCGTGCCTGCTCAGCTTTTTACTTCAGCTCCTACTCAAGCTGCAATTTTGCTTTGGTGTTTCTCCTGTTCCCCGTGTCTCCTCTCTCCTCCTGCTCTGGTGTGTTCTTCTGCTTCTTCCTCCTCCTCTAGCATTGTTCCTTCTTTCTCGGTGTTTACCGGTTTCTTAAACTTGCTTTCACAGAGGTGCCAGAAACTCCTTTGATCAGGTTAGCATTGCAGGGAGTAGATATGTCCTGTGCCTTACCAAGCCATCTGGAACCAGCTGGAACCAGCTGGAACCATCAGGCACTGACTGGAAGCAGCTGGTACCAGCTGCATCTGTCATAGGACAGTCGTACTCTTCTCTCACAGAGACCACCCCGCAACCCCACTGCCAAAACCCTGCCAGGCCTACCTTAAGCCCCCTTGGTAATCAATAAGCAAAAAGTCAGGCCATCTTCTAGTTCTTCTTTTTCCTTCTTTGATTTTTTCATTTTATTTTGCAAAAGCCTTTATGTTTCTGGATATGAATATGTCTAGTATTTTTGGAAAAATCACCCTAATGCGATCTGAGATAAAGAATTTGAGCAAAAGCAGGCCTTCCTGCTGCTGGCTGCGCGCTTTTTCCAGGAGTGCTGCTCGGGGTTGCTTCAGTTTGGAAGCTCGCTGCTCTGTGCTTTGCAAGGCTCACACAGACACCCACAACCTGTGTGCTGCTTTCAGGTTCTGGACGACAGCTGAGACCGGCAGAGCCTCCAGGAGATGCTGATGCTGATGCAGAAGATGAAGATTCTGTGAGTTGTTGGTTTGCTGTTGTTGTTTTAAAATACATTGTGAAATTGGGATCTTCAATTTTTTATTTTTTTTTTAATTATTTTTTTATAGTGGGGTCTTGCTTGTGATTCTTTTCCACATCAGAAATACTGTAGCTTGTAGTATTTCTGCTTGGGATTAGTCCGCCAGCTCAAAAGCCAGAATGATGCTTCAACACAGTGTGATCTGCTGTTTACCATGATTCACCAGCATGAGTTTAATACCAAGACCTAGCAAAATAGGACATGATTGTTCACTACAATTACATTTCTTTAAAGTTTTTGCTGGTTTCCCACAGTCTGACGACTGTCAGCAAAGCTCGTTGTGGGACTCTCCCATGATTTGTTTGTTTATAGATGGCAATAAAGTCTGAAGTTGCAAGATGCAAAGTTTAACCTTGCAAATAAAGCAGGGTATGGCAGTGTTATAGCCTTTTTCAGTTGTCACTAACTGATCTGTTAGTATTTTCAGTCTGTTCAGCCCATTGATGCATACAGTTTGTAAAGAAAACCACAGTCACTCTACCAGCACTGTTGTCGCTCTGGAGTCTGTCACTTGTGTTCTTGAATAGCATCCTTAAATGAGCATTATGTTCGTTGTTGACCAAAGGAAAGAGCTATTCATTATTCTGCATTCACCGTTGCTAATAAAAGATGTGTACACAGAAAGAGACTGTGCCTAATATGAAAATCTCTCCTAAAAAATTGTGTCACTGCTTAACCATGGTTGTGCCTTCTCCACCATTCATTTCTTTTCCTCAGGTTAATGAAGTGGCAGTAGAAGACATCCGTCCAAGGCCACAGGGTTCCTCTCCGGTTTATGAATATTCCATAGAAGAAGAATATTTAAAGGCAAGATACTGAAGTTTCATAGCAGCATGGCTTTATCAGATTGATTGAAAGTACTTCAGCCCCTACAACAAGCCAAGGCTCAAATGCCATATACAATGATGTGTTGTCTCCCTCCCTGCCATGTTCATTAAGGGTCATGTTCATTGATGTTTGTTTGTTTGTTTGTTTTTGTTTTGTTTTAATTGATTTGTTGTTGGTTGTGTTCTTTTTTCTTGGCAAAAAAAAAAAAAAAAAAGCTTTTGACTTCATTTTTAAGGTACCTAGGGCACAAGGTGTCAAAAAATGTTAACACTTTTCCTAGTTAAAATATTTAACTTACTTGAATCTAATACATATTTCAAAAGTACCCGTATCTATTCATTATTCAAAAGTAAAAAATTAATTAGCACACTCATGTTAAGTAGTCAATGTTTTGAAGTTCATGCTGAAATCAAATAAATGAAAAACGTGTGCTGTTCACAAAGATGAAAGCATGAGAAATACTACTTGAGAAAAGATCTCAATGTTTTGATGCAACTGCTCTCTGGCATTCATTTCCTTCAAATTTTGGTACAAGTCAGGGAGGCCCTGCATCTAATTTATTACTGGGAATTATGTAGTTAAATCATTAACACTGTACATTTTACTTGTATATCCCAAATTTAACTATGTTGCCAGTAAAGTCAGCCTCAGTTCTTGGTCTAAATCAAGCATTTTGTTGAACTTTAGAACAGAACTAAATATTAACACTGAACAATTGAAATTTATTTTTCAGCTTCAAGAAGAAAACAAAAAATATTCTACAGACAAATCAAAACAGAGTCATCCACAGGTCAGTCTAAAAACACTCAATAGTTTTAGGTGTATGGTTTGCAAAACAGTGAAGTCTGTTATGCAGATGTGGATGGGTAGACAGGAAGGACAAATGGGCAAAGAATCACTTTAGACTTGGTTTGGCCAGGAACTTCAAAAATTGTTCACTGGGGCACAAGCAGGTATAAAAACTTACTTGCCCTATTTGTGGTCCTTCTGTTATTCTTTTCAACATTCTTTAGTCTTCTCTGGTTTCAGTATAGTACAGTATTGACTCTTATTCTGACTTTTCTGGCCTGCTGACTCTATTTCAGGTGCCTAACAGCTTCACAGAAAATGCAGACTTTCAGCCCTATAAAATTCCATATGTTTCACATATTCAGATTATAATCTATTTTCCCTGTGGCCCTGATGCAGCAAGGACCTAACACGTGCTTAATTTAATTTAGAACAGACTTGACCCGCACTGAACAAGTACATTCTCTGCTTTAGATAATCTTTCTTAAGCTACTGAAAATACACCTGAGAACTCTCGCTTTTCTCATTGTACAATCTTAAATACTTTAATACAAATGAGTAGTCATAAATTCAAACCTTTTTCTACATCTAGGAGACAATGGAAGTGACCTTGAAAACAGAAGTGGAAGCTGGTGCTAGTGGTTTTAGCGTGACAGGTGGAGGAGATGAAGGAATATTTATTAAAAAAGTACTTAAGGAGTCTCCTGCTTCAAAAGTATTTAGTCTGAGAGAAGGTACAGTCTTATTTTCTAATTTATTTTTTTTTTAAGTTTTATCATAATCAGGCATATATCTCTGTGTATATAGACACCTGCCTGATCTGTCATCTGTTTAGATAATAGAAATAGAAGATGCCAAGCCAACTAATATTATGACCTTTCCATATTAATAATTTCCAAAATAAGTTTCTTAATTACTAACAATATGTGAATTGTTTTGTATACCATTAAAAAAATCAAATTTTAACTGGAATAGTGAAAAGGTTATATAGAAAGTAGTATATACACAATTAAAATGGAAAGAAAAAACAACTCATTATTACATTCACAAAGAACCTGCCTTTGATTCTTCTACAAAATATTCTGCCACAAAACTATGGTAAATAGTGATTTAATCAAGAACAGAAGTCCAAAGTCTAAAAAAATATAAGAAAAAACTGTTACTGTCAGGGTGGTCAGACCCTGAAACAGATTGTCCAGAGAAGTTATGGAGTCACCACCCTTGGAAATATTCAAAACCTGACTGCGCACAGACTGAAGCAAGGTGCTGTCATTAACCCTGCCCTAAGCAGAGTGGTTGGACTAGATGATCTCCAGTGGTCCCTTCAACCTTAACTATTCTGTAATTCTAGTCTGTGAACATAATTTTATATTTTAAATCAATAGTAGTTGTTAAATATTTTTCTCTTTTATGAACATTAATTCATCAGATTCTGAAAAATCACAAGAAAATACAAACTAATTGACATGATGTCTGATTCTCTTTGCAGGTGATCAGCTTCTAAGTGCCACAATATTTTTTGATAACATCAAATATGAAGATGCACTTAAGATTCTTCAATATTCTGAGCCATACAGAGTCCAGTTCAGCCTCAAAAGAAAAATTGCTGGGAAAGAAGAGCTGGAACATATTCACTCTACAGCCCAGTACAAAAAGGAAAGATTAAGTCAGGTACTAGTTACTTGATTAATTTACAAAGCTTGTATAACACTGTAGCAACATGCTATGTGGAAATATTGATTAGAAAATACAGTGCTTTTCTTCTTAAAACATCTTCTTACTAATATGAATATTCATTAGAATAAAAAAATCCCACACAATATTTGCATCCTTATAAACATTCTGGGCAAGACTATAGATTTTGGATAAAAACACAGTCTTGATTTAGGGTAGAAAAACATTCTTCTCTAGTGAGTCAGAGCTGTTTCTGTTATTAAGTTCACTGATTGAATGAGCTCAGGTAAACTCTAATATTTATGTTCAATATTTTCAAAGTGTAAGATACCAGTAAATATTTTTCTCAAAAGCTCAGCAATGAAATATTATCATAAAAATATGTTTAATCCCTGATATCTCCATAGACAGGATCTGCTCACAGGTCTTCACCACATTCAAAATTATTTTTGCATATTTTCTCTTCATATATACATGTATTTATACAGCAATACAGAGAGATGCTTTGCAACGATGGTAGACTTTCACAAGTCCACATATTGCTGTCATATAATCTATTTATTTTATGTAATTTCTGCCTGAATTACATCCTCCATTTTCAGGCTTTTTTAACGTAAGAAGCAGATAATGTGAATACAAAGCTCAATTCCCTACTTATTTTATAGTATATATTTTATTGTCTATATTTTTTGTCTTGCATCTATATTTAGTTAACTCTTAATCTACTAACTATATTTGTTCTTTCAGGAAAAAGAACTCAGTGAAAGCATTCCTGAAGAAACGCTGCGTATTTCAGGAAAAACTATTTCAGAAGAAGACAGGGAAACATTAATTGTAAACCAAAGGGTAGGAAGAAGCAAGAGACCTAAAAAAGACAGATTGTCATGGCCAAAATTCCAGTCAATTAAAAATAAAAAGATATTGGGACACAGAAGATCTCATAGTACATCTGATGCATATGAGCCTGCTATACAGGATATTTCCCCTACAAGCACAGACACAGAGTCTCAATTTCAACAAGAAGTTCATATTAAAGAAAAAAAAGGAAGCCAAAAGAAACTGAAGTTCCCTAGTATTGGATTCAAAATGCACAGATCCAAAGGAGAATCTCAAGACAAGCAAAAAAAAGAAATAAAAGCTACACTGTTATCTGAAAGACAAAAGATACATAAAGAAGATATCAGCATGGAAAGTCCCGAAATATTGACTGTTGAATATACCACATCTCCTGCTTATGAAATGAAAACAGAGGAGTTACATGAAACTTTAACAAAAGACTTAAAAGATATGAAAAACGGTATTCCCACTCATGAAAAAAAATGCCCTGAAGTTGAAATAAGCATTAAAACAGAAAAGGAAAAGAAATCAGCACTGAAGCTTACTGTACCTGAAGGACCAGCTATAACAACACAGGTACTGAAGCCCAGTTCAGAAGCAGCAGATCTGAAAGAAAGTCCAACTAAACAACTACCACAAGCCTCATCAAAATCACGGAAAAAGAAACAGAAAGGAACAGCTGATAAAACAGAAGCAGAATCTGGAATTAACATAGACATAATGGATCATGCAGCAAAAGGATCCATACAGGTAAGAGGTCTAGAAATAGGCACTGCTAAAGCAGAATTACACACACCTGACATACTGGAAACAGAAGAAAAGCAAATGGAAGATGACACACAAATACTAAAAATTCCGAAAACAAAATCTGAAATTTCAGTGCCCAAAAGAAAAGAGCCAGAGACTGAGAACGCTTTAACCAAACCAGAAAGTGATATTCCACGTTCTGTACCAGAAACAACAGCTGATGAAATTACAGAGGTAGGCAGGAAGTTAGAAGTGAAAACTCACATATCTGATGCAGAATCAGAAGAATCTACTTTGAAAATGCAAATACCATCATTCAAAATTGCCAAAATACCTAAAGCTGACATTAAAATATCAAGAGAAGACAGCACAGTTGAATCAGATGATATTGTTAAAAAGGCACAGACAGAGGATGATATGCCCATGAGTGATAAAGACTTGAAGATGGACAGTGGCATGAAGACAGGTGAAAAGGATACAGAAGGAAAAGAAAGCAAATTCAGACTACCAAAGTTTAAATTGCCTACATTTACCTGGGCAACCGCAAAGGATGAGACAGGAGAACCTTACAGTCAGTTAAAGGACAAGGAAGCAAAGATGCCATCCCTAAAAGAAGGAGCAAAAATGGAAATGAGAGTATCAGGAGAAGACACGACATTTCCAAATGCTGAAATGGAAATAGGAATACCCAAAGAAAAAATAAGTGAAAAAAATATTGAACACACACTAGGAGATGAATTGCCAACACTAAAAAAGCAACATATAAAGGAGTCGTCACCAGACATTCATTTGGAAAAAACAACAGGACAAATACAGCCTATAAAACCTGACGAAGAAGTAAAAATGGGTGAAATCAGTACACCAACTAAGAAAAAAGAAGAAACTATCACTCAATTAGGAACAACAAAAGATGAAAGAGAAATAAAAATGAAAGAAAAAAAGATAAAATTAACGAAAAAAGGATTATTTAAACAAAACACAGACATTCCAACAGATAATATAGAAATAACAAAATACAAAACCAATGTAAAATATTCAGAAAATGAAATTTCAGAAACAAAAAAAGGAAAAACCACAGTTACAATGACAGCACAGGAAGTTATGGAGAAAAAACCCTCCCTCAAAGCTGACACCAAAGCTCCCAAGGTGGACATCAGCCTGCCATCCATTGACGTCACCCTTCCAAAGCCCAACATCGACCTGAGGCAACCAGAGGAGGCACTTACCCTCGAAGGGGAAGCAAAAGCCCCAGAGAAGGAGGCCACGAAGACCAAGGACGGCAAGTTCAAAATGCCCAAGTTCGGCATGCCTTCCTTTGGCTGGTCCAGCAGCAGAGAGGCCAAGGGAACCGTAACTGCTGATGTAGACGTGAAACTCAAAGAGCCCCAAGTGACAGAGTCCTTGGGAGCCGCTGACGTTGAGGTGACCCTGCCCGGGGCCGAAATCCAAGCACCCGGCGTCGAGATGACCATCGATACACCTGCCAGTGGAGACGGGGAGAAAGGCCGGTTCAAAATACCTGACTTCAAGATGCCCAGCGTCAAGCTACCCAAAGTCGAGGCCAGCCTGCCAGAGGCAGAGGTCAAGGCCGGCGCCGTCGACATCAGCATCTCGGCGCCCGACATCAAGCTGCCCTCCGTGGAAGGCTCCCTTGACCTCCAGGCACCCGAGGTAGACGTGAAAGTGCCCTCCGCCGAAGGCTCGCTCGACGGAGCCGAGCTGGAAGCCACGGGCCTCAAAGGGAAGTTTAAGATGCCCAAGTTCGACAAGCCCAAATTCGGAGTGTCGGCGCCCAAGGCGGAAGGGCCCGAAGGCGAGGTCAGCCTGCCCACCGCTGAGGTTGACCTGCCCTCCGGCACTGTGACGGTGGCAGGGGAAGGCCCTGCACTGGGCCTCAAAGCTGACGTTGCCGGTGCCAAGACCGAAGGGGCTGGCTGGAAGCTCGAAAAGCCCTCCCTCAAAATGCCCAAAGCTGACATCAAAGCTCCCAAGGTGGACATCAGCCTGCCCTCCGTGGACGTCACCCTTCCAAAGGCCAGCGTCGAGCTGCAGGCACCCGAGGCGGCGCTCGCCCTCGAAGGGGAAGCAAAAGCCCCAGAGAAGGAGGCCACGAAGGCCAAGGACGGCAAGTTCAAAATGCCCAAGTTCGGCATGCCTTCCTTTGGCTGGTCCAGCAGCAGAGAGGCCAAGGGCACCGTGGCCGCCGATGTGGACGTGAGCCTCAAGGAGCCCCAAGTGACGGCGCCCTCGGGAGCCGCCGACGTTGAGGTGACCCTGCCCGGCGCCGAGATCCAAGCTCCCGGCGTCGAGGTGACCATCGAGACAGCCGCCGGCGGAGACGGGGAGAAAGGCCGGTTCAAAATGCCCGACGTCAAGATGCCCAGCGTCAAGCTGCCCAAAGTCAAAGCGCCCCACGTGCAGGTCAGCCTGCCAAAGGGCGAGATCTCCGTGCCCAAAGCCCAGGCCGAACTCCCGGAGGGCGAGCTCACCCTGCAGGGCCCCGACGCCGAAGGCAGCCTGGACGTGGCTGCCGGCAAAGTGGAGGGCAGCGGCATGAAAATACACATGCCAAAAGTCAAGGTGCCCAGCGTGGCCTTCTCCAAGCCGACCGTCAAGGCTCCCAAAGTCGAGGCGGACGTCAGCCTGCCCAAAGTCGAGGCCAGCCTGCCAGAGGCAGAGGTCAAGGCCGGCGCCGTCGACATCAGCATCTCGGCGCCCGACATCAAGCTGCCCTCCGTGGAAGGCTCCCTTGACCTCCAGGCACCCGAGGTAGACGTGAAAGTGCCCTCCGCCGAAGGCTCGCTCGACGGAGCCGAGCTGGAAGCCACGGGCCTCAAAGGGAAGTTTAAGATGCCCAAATTCGGAGTGTCGGCGCCCAAGGCGGAAGGGCCCGAAGGCGAGGTCAGCCTGCCCACCGCTGAGGTTGACCTGCCCTCCGGCACTGTGACGGTGGCAGGGGAAGGCCCTGCACTGGGCCTCAAAGCTGACGTTGCCGGTGCCAAGACCGAAGGGGCTGGCTGGAAGCTCGAAAAGCCCTCCCTCAAAATGCCCAAAGCTGACATCAAAGCTCCCAAGGTGGACATCAGCCTGCCCTCCGTGGACGTCACCCTTCCAAAGGCCAGCGTCGAGCTGCAGGCACCCGAGGCGGCACTCGCCCTCGAAGGGGAAGCAAAAGCCCCAGAGAAGGAGGCTACGAAGGCCAAGGACGGCAAGTTCAAAATGCCCAAGTTCGGCATGCCTTCCTTTGGCTGGTCCAGCAGCAGAGAGGCCAAGGGCACCGTGGCCGCCGATGTGGACGTGAGCCTCAAGGAGCCCCAAGTGACGGCGCCCTCGGGAGCCGCCGACGTTGAGGTGACCCTGCCCGGCGCCGAGATCCAAGCTCCCGGCGTCGAGGTGACCATCGAGACAGCCGCCGGCGGAGACGGGGAGAAAGGCCGGTTCAAAATGCCCGACGTCAAGATGCCCAGCGTCAAGCTGCCCAAAGTCAAAGCGCCCCACGTGCAGGTCAGCCTGCCAAAGGGCGAGATCTCCGTGCCCAAAGCCCAGGCCGAACTCCCGGAGGGCGAGCTCACCCTGCAGGGCCCCGACGCCGAAGGCAGCCTGGACGTGGCTGCCGGCAAAGTGGAGGGCAGCGGCATGAAAATACACATGCCAAAAGTCAAGGTGCCCAGCGTGGCCTTCTCCAAGCCGACCGTCAAGGCTCCCAAAGTCGAGGCGGACGTCAGCCTGCCCAAAGTCGAGGCCAGCCTGCCAGAGGCAGAGGTCAAGGCCGGCGCCGTCGACATCAGCATCTCGGCGCCCGACATCAAGCTGCCCTCCGTGGAAGGCTCCCTTGACCTCCAGGCACCCGAGGTAGACGTGAAAGTGCCCTCCGCCGAAGGCTCGCTCGACGGAGCCGAGCTGGAAGCCACGGGCCTCAAAGGGAAGTTTAAGATGCCCAAATTCGGAGTGTCGGCGCCCAAGGCGGAAGGGCCCGAAGGCGAGGTCAGCCTGCCCACCGCTGAGGTTGACCTGCCCTCCGGCACTGTGACGGTGGCAGGGGAAGGCCCTGCACTGGGCCTCAAAGCTGACGTTGCCGGTGCCAAGACCGAAGGGGCTGGCTGGAAGCTCGAAAAGCCCTCCCTCAAAATGCCCAAAGCTGACATCAAAGCTCCCAAGGTGGACATCAGCCTGCCCTCCGTGGACGTCACCCTTCCAAAGGCCAGCGTCGAGCTGCAGGCACCCGAGGCGGCGCTCGCCCTCGAAGGGGAAGCAAAAGCCCCAGAGAAGGAGGCTACGAAGGCCAAGGACGGCAAGTTCAAAATGCCCAAGTTCGGCATGCCTTCCTTTGGCTGGTCCAGCAGCAGAGAGGCCAAGGGCACCGTGGCCGCCGATGTGGACGTGAGCCTCAAGGAGCCCCAAGTGACGGCGCCCTCGGGAGCCGCCGACGTTGAGGTGACCCTGCCCGGCGCCGAGATCCAAGCTCCCGGCGTCGAGGTGACCATCGAGACAGCCGCCGGCGGAGACGGGGAGAAAGGCCGGTTCAAAATGCCCGACGTCAAGATGCCCAGCGTCAAGCTGCCCAAAGTCAAAGCGCCCCACGTGCAGGTCAGCCTGCCAAAGGGCGAGATCTCCGTGCCCAAAGCCCAGGCCGAACTCCCGGAGGGCGAGCTCACCCTGCAGGGCCCCGACGCCGAAGGCAGCCTGGACGTGGCTGCCGGCAAAGTGGAGGGCAGCGGCATGAAAATACACATGCCAAAAGTCAAGGTGCCCAGCGTGGCCTTCTCCAAGCCGACCGTCAAGGCTCCCAAAGTCGAGGCGGACGTCAGCCTGCCCAAAGTCGAGGCCAGCCTGCCAGAGGCAGAGGTCAAGGCCGGCGCCGTCGACATCAGCATCTCGGCGCCCGACATCAAGCTGCCCTCCGTGGAAGGCTCCCTTGACCTCCAGGCACCCGAGGTAGACGTGAAAGTGCCCTCCGCCGAAGGCTCGCTCGACGGAGCCGAGCTGGAAGCCACGGGCCTCAAAGGGAAGTTTAAGATGCCCAAGTTCGACAAGCCCAAATTCGGAGTGTCGGCGCCCAAGGCGGAAGGGCCCGAAGGCGAGGTCAGCCTGCCCACCGCTGAGGTTGACCTGCCCTCCGGCACTGTGACGGTGGCAGGGGAAGGCCCTGCACTGGGCCTCAAAGCTGACGTTGCCGGTGCCAAGACCGAAGGGGCTGGCTGGAAGCTCGAAAAGCCCTCCCTCAAAATGCCCAAAGCTGACATCAAAGCTCCCAAGGTGGACATCAGCCTGCCCTCCGTGGACGTCACCCTTCCAAAGGCCAGCGTCGAGCTGCAGGCACCCGAGGCGGCACTCGCCCTCGAAGGGGAAGCAAAAGCCCCAGAGAAGGAGGCTACGAAGGCCAAGGACGGCAAGTTCAAAATGCCCAAGTTCGGCATGCCTTCCTTTGGCTGGTCCAGCAGCAGAGAGGCCAAGGGCACCGTGGCCGCCGATGTGGACGTGAGCCTCAAGGAGCCCCAAGTGACGGCGCCCTCGGGAGCCGCCGACGTTGAGGTGACCCTGCCCGGCGCCGAGATCCAAGCTCCCGGCGTCGAGGTGACCATCGAGACAGCCGCCGGCGGAGACGGGGAGAAAGGCCGGTTCAAAATGCCCGACGTCAAGATGCCCAGCGTCAAGCTGCCCAAAGTCAAAGCGCCCCACGTGCAGGTCAGCCTGCCAAAGGGCGAGATCTCCGTGCCCAAAGCCCAGGCCGAACTCCCGGAGGGCGAGCTCACCCTGCAGGGCCCCGACGCCGAAGGCAGCCTGGACGTGGCTGCCGGCAAAGTGGAGGGCAGCGGCATGAAAATACACATGCCAAAAGTCAAGGTGCCCAGCGTGGCCTTCTCCAAGCCGACCGTCAAGGCTCCCAAAGTCGAGGCGGACGTCAGCCTGCCCAAAGTCGAGGCCAGCCTGCCAGAGGCAGAGGTCAAGGCCGGCGCCGTCGACATCAGCATCTCGGCGCCCGACATCAAGCTGCCCTCCGTGGAAGGCTCCCTTGACCTCCAGGCACCCGAGGTAGACGTGAAAGTGCCCTCCGCCGAAGGCTCGCTCGACGGAGCCGAGCTGGAAGCCACGGGCCTCAAAGGGAAGTTTAAGATGCCCAAGTTCGACAAGCCCAAATTCGGAGTGTCGGCGCCCAAGGCGGAAGGGCCCGAAGGCGAGGTCAGCCTGCCCACCGCTGAGGTTGACCTGCCCTCCGGCACTGTGACGGTGGCAGGGGAAGGCCCTGCACTGGGCCTCAAAGCTGACGTTGCCGGTGCCAAGACCGAAGGGGCTGACTGGAAGCTCGAAAAGCCCTCCCTCAAAATGCCCAAAGCTGACATCAAAGCTCCCAAGGTGGACATCAGCCTGCCCTCCGTGGACGTCACCCTTCCAAAGGCCAGCGTCGAGCTGCAGGCACCCGAGGCGGCACTCGCCCTCGAAGGGGAAGCAAAAGCCCCAGAGAAGGAGGCTACGAAGGCCAAGGACGGCAAGTTCAAAATGCCCAAGTTCGGCATGCCTTCCTTTGGCTGGTCCAGCAGCAGAGAGGCCAAGGGCACCGTGGCCGCCGATGTGGACGTGAGCCTCAAGGAGCCCCAAGTGACGGCGCCCTCGGGAGCCGCCGACGTTGAGGTGACCCTGCCCGGCGCCGAGATCCAAGCTCCCGGCGTCGAGGTGACCATCGAGACAGCCGCCGGCGGAGACGGGGAGAAAGGCCGGTTCAAAATGCCCGACGTCAAGATGCCCAGCGTCAAGCTGCCCAAAGTCAAAGCGCCCCACGTGCAGGTCAGCCTGCCAAAGGGCGAGATCTCCGTGCCCAAAGCCCAGGCCGAACTCCCGGAGGGCGAGCTCACCCTGCAGGGCCCCGACGCCGAAGGCAGCCTGGACGTGGCTGCCGGCAAAGTGGAGGGCAGCGGCATGAAAATACACATGCCAAAAGTCAAGGTGCCCAGCGTGGCCTTCTCCAAGCCGACCGTCAAGGCTCCCAAAGTCGAGGCGGACGTCAGCCTGCCCAAAGTCGAGGCCAGCCTGCCAGAGGCAGAGGTCAAGGCCGGCGCCGTCGACATCAGCATCTCGGCGCCCGACATCAAGCTGCCCTCCGTGGAAGGCTCCCTTGACCTCCAGGCACCCGAGGTAGACGTGAAAGTGCCCTCCGCCGAAGGCTCGCTCGACGGAGCCGAGCTGGAAGCCACGGGCCTCAAAGGGAAGTTTAAGATGCCCAAGTTCGACAAGCCCAAATTCGGAGTGTCAGCGCCCAAGGCGGAAGGGCCCGAAGGCGAGGTCAGCCTGCCCACCGCTGAGGTTGACCTGCCCTCCGGCACTGTGACGGTGGCAGGGGAAGGCCCTGCACTGGGCCTCAAAGCTGACGTTGCCGGTGCCAAGACCGAAGGGGCTGGCTGGAAGCTCGAAAAGCCCTCCCTCAAAATGCCCAAAGCTGACATCAAAGCTCCCAAGGTGGACATCAGCCTGCCCTCCGTGGACGTCACCCTTCCAAAGGCCAGCGTCGAGCTGCAGGCACCCGAGGCGGCGCTCGCCCTCGAAGGGGAAGCAAAAGCCCCAGAGAAGGAGGCTACGAAGGCCAAGGACGGCAAGTTCAAAATGCCCAAGTTCGGCATGCCTTCCTTTGGCTGGTCCAGCAGCAGAGAGGCCAAGGGCACCGTGGCCACCGATGTGGACGTGAGCCTCAAGGAGTCCCAAGTGACGGCGCCCTCGGGAGCCGCCGACGTTGAGGTGACCCTGCCCGGCGCCGAGATCCAAGCTCCCGGCGTCGAGGTGACCATCGAGACAGCCGCCGGCGGAGACGGGGAGAAAGGCCGGTTCAAAATGCCCGACGTCAAGATGCCCAGCGTCAAGCTGCCCAAAGTCAAAGCGCCCCACATGCAGGTCAGCCTGCCAAAGGGCGAGATCTCCGTGCCCAAAGCCCAGGCCGAACTCCCAGAGGGCGAGCTCACCCTGCAGGGCCCCGACGCCGAAGGCAGCCTGGACGTGGCTGCCGGCAAAGTGGAGGGCAGCGGCATGAAAATACACATGCCAAAAGTCAAGGTGCCCAGCGTGGCCTTCTCCAAGCCGACCGTCAAGGCTCCCAAAGTCGAGGCGGACGTCAGCCTGCCCAAAGTCGAGGCCAGCCTGCCAGAGGCAGAGGTCAAGGCCGGCGCCGTCGACATCAGCATCTCGGCGCCCGACATCAAGCTGCCCTCCGTGGAAGGCTCCCTTGACCTCCAGGCACCCGAGGTAGACGTGAAAGTGCCCTCCGCCGAAGGCTCGCTCGACGGAGCCGAGCTGGAAGCCACGGGCCTCAAAGGGAAGTTTAAGATGCCCAAGTTCGACAAGCCCAAATTCGGAGTGTCGGCGCCCAAGGCGGAAGGGCCCGAAGGCGAGGTCAGCCTGCCCACCGCTGAGGTTGACCTGCCCTCCGGCACTGTGACGGTGGCAGGGGAAGGCCCTGCACTGGGCCTCAAAGCTGACGTTGCCGGTGCCAAGACCGAAGGGGCTGGCTGGAAGCTCGAAAAGCCCTCCCTCAAAATGCCCAAAGCTGACATCAAAGCTCCCAAGGTGGACATCAGCCTGCCCTCCGTGGACGTCACCCTTCCAAAGGCCAGCGTCGAGCTGCAGGCACCCGAGGCGGCGCTCGCCCTCGAAGGGGAAGCAAAAGCCCCAGAGAAGGAGGCTACGAAGGCCAAGGACGGCAAGTTCAAAATGCCCAAGTTCGGCATGCCTTCCTTTGGCTGGTCCAGCAGCAGAGAGGCCAAGGGCACCGTGGCCGCCGATGTGGACGTGAGCCTCAAGGAGCCCCAAGTGACGGCGCCCTCGGGAGCCGCCGACGTTGAGGTGACCCTGCCCGGCGCCGAGATCCAAGCTCCCGGCGTCGAGGTGACCATCGAGACAGCCGCCGGCGGAGACGGGGAGAAAGGCCGGTTCAAAATGCCCGACGTCAAGATGCCCAGCGTCAAGCTGCCCAAAGTCAAAGCGCCCCACGTGCAGGTCAGCCTGCCAAAGGGCGAGATCTCCGTGCCCAAAGCCCAGGCCGAACTCCCGGAGGGCGAGCTCACCCTGCAGGGCCCCGACGCCGAAGGCAGCCTGGACGTGGCTGCCGGCAAAGTGGAGGGCAGCGGCATGAAAATACACATGCCAAAAGTCAAGGTGCCCAGCGTGGCCTTCTCCAAGCCGACCGTCAAGGCTCCCAAAGTCGAGGCGGACGTCAGCCTGCCCAAAGTCGAGGCCAGCCTGCCAGAGGCAGAGGTCAAGGCCGGCGCCGTCGACATCAGCATCTCGGCGCCCGACATCAAGCTGCCCTCCGTGGAAGGCTCCCTTGACCTCCAGGCACCCGAGGTAGACGTGAAAGTGCCCTCCGCCGAAGGCTCGCTCGACGGAGCCGAGCTGGAAGCCACGGGCCTCAAAGGGAAGTTTAAGATGCCCAAGTTCGACAAGCCCAAATTCGGAGTGTCGGCGCCCAAGGCGGAAGGGCCCGAAGGCGAGGTCAGCCTGCCCACCGCTGAGGTTGACCTGCTCTCCAGCACTGTGACGGTGGCAGGGGAAGGCCCTGCACTGGGCCTCAAAGCTGACGTTGCCGGTGCCAAGACCGAAGGGGCTGGCTGGAAGCTCGAAAAGCCCTCCCTCAAAATGCCCAAAGCTGACATCAAAGCTCCCAAGGTGGACATCAGCCTGCCCTCCGTGGACGTCACCCTTCCAAAGGCCAGCGTCGAGCTGCAGGCACCCGAGGCGGCGCTCGCCCTCGAAGGGGAAGCAAAAGCCCCAGAGAAGGAGGCTACGAAGGCCAAGGACGGCAAGTTCAAAATGCCCAAGTTCGGCATGCCTTCCTTTGGCTGGTCCAGCAGCAGAGAGGCCAAGGGCACCGTGGCCGCCGACGTGGACGTGAGCCTCAAGGAGCCCCAAGTGACGGCGCCCTCGGGAGCCGCCGACGTTGAGGTGACCCTGCCCGGCGCCGAGATCCAAGCTCCTGGCGTCGAGGTGACCATCGAGACAGCCGCCGGCAGAGACGGGGAGAAAGGCCGGTTCAAAATGCCCGACGTCAAGATGCCCAGCGTCAAGCTGCCCAAAGTCAAAGCGCCCCACGTGCAGGTCAGCCTGCCAAAGGGCGAGATCTCCGTGCCCAAAGCCCAGGCCGAACTCCCGGAGGGCGAGCTCACCCTGCAGGGCCCCGACGCCGAAGGCAGCCTGGACGTGGCTGCCGGCAAAGTGGAGGGCAGCGGCATGAAAATACACATGCCAAAAGTCAAGGTGCCCAGCGTGGCCTTCTCCAAGCCGACCGTCAAGGCTCCCAAAGTCGAGGCGGACGTCAGCCTGCCCAAAGTCGAGGCCAGCCTGCCAGAGGCAGAGGTCAAGGCCGGCGCCGTCGACATCAGCATCTCGGCGCCCGACATCAAGCTGCCCTCCGTGGAAGGCTCCCTTGACCTCCAGGCACCCGAGGTAGACGTGAAAGTGCCCTCCGCCGAAGGCTCGCTCGACGGAGCCGAGCTGGAAGCCATGGGCCTCAAAGGGAAGTTTAAGATGCCCAAGTTCGACAAGCCCAAATTCGGAGTGTCGGCGCCCAAGGCGGAAGGGCCCGAAGGCGAGGTCAGCCTGCCCACCGCTGAGGTTGACCTGCTCTCCAGCACTGTGACGGTGGCAGGGGAAGGCCCTGCACTGGGCCTCAAAGCTGACGTTGCCGGTGCCAAGACCGAAGGGGCTGGCTGGAAGCTCGAAAAGCCCTCCCTCAAAATGCCCAAAGCTGACATCAAAGCTCCCAAGGTGGACATCAGCCTGCCCTCCGTGGACGTCACCCTTCCAAAGGCCAGCGTCGAGCTGCAGGCACCCAAGGCGGCGCTCGCCCTCGAAGGGGAAGCAAAAGCCCCAGAGAAGGAGGCTACGAAGGCCAAGGACGGCAAGTTCAAAATGCCCAAGTTCGGCATGCCTTCCTTTGGCTGGTCCAGCAGCAGAGAGGCCAAGGGCACCGTGGCCGCCGACGTGGACGTGAGCCTCAAGGAGCCCCAAGTGACGGCGCCCTCGGGAGCCGCCGACGTTGAGGTGACCCTGCCCGGCGCCGAGATCCAAGCTCCTGGCGTCGAGGTGACCATCGAGACAGCCGCCGGCGGAGACGGGGAGAAAGGCCGGTTCAAAATGCCCGACGTCAAGATGCCCAGCGTCAAGCTGCCCAAAGTCAAAGCGCCCCACGTGCAGGTCAGCCTGCCAAAGGGCGAGATCTCCGTGCCCAAAGCCCAGGCCGAACTCCCGGAGGGCGAGCTCACCCTGCAGGGCCCCGACGCCGAAGGCAGCCTGGACGTGGCTGCCGGCAAAGTGGAGGGCAGCGGCATGAAAATACACATGCCAAAAGTCAAGGTGCCCAGCGTGGCCTTCTCCAAGCCGACCGTCAAGGCTCCCAAAGTCGAGGCGGACGTCAGCCTGCCCAAAGTCGAGGCCAGCCTGCCAGAGGCAGAGGTCAAGGCCGGCGCCGTCGACATCAGCATCTCGGCGCCCGACATCAAGCTGCCCTCCGTGGAAGGCTCCCTTGACCTCCAGGCACCCGAGGTAGACGTGAAAGTGCCCTCCGCCGAAGGCTCGCTCGACGGAGCCGAGCTGGAAGCCACGGGCCTCAAAGGGAAGTTTAAGATGCCCAAATTCGGAGTGTCGGCGCCCAAGGCGGAAGGGCCCGAAGGCGAGGTCAGCCTGCCCACCGCTGAGGTTGACCTGCCCTCCGGCACTGTGACGGTGGCAGGGGAAGGCCCTGCACTGGGCCTCAAAGCTGACGTTGCCGGTGCCAAGACCGAAGGGGCTGGCTGGAAGCTCGAAAAGCCCTCCCTCAAAATGCCCAAAGCTGACATCAAAGCTCCCAAGGTGGACATCAGCCTGCCCTCCGTGGACGTCACCCTTCCAAAGGCCAGCGTCGAGCTGCAGGCACCCGAGGCGGCGCTCGCCCTCGAAGGGGAAGCAAAAGCCCCAGAGAAGGAGGCTACGAAGGCCAAGGACGGCAAGTTCAAAATGCCCAAGTTCGGCATGCCTTCCTTTGGCTGGTCCAGCAGCAGAGAGGCCAAGGGCACCGTGGCCGCCGACGTGGACGTGAGCCTCAAGGAGCCCCAAGTGACGGCGCCCTCGGGAGCCGCCGACGTTGAGGTGACCCTGCCCGGCGCCGAGATCCAAGCTCCTGGCGTCGAGGTGACCATCGAGACAGCCGCCGGCGGAGACGGGGAGAAAGGCCGGTTCAAAATGCCCGACGTCAAGATGCCCAGCGTCAAGCTGCCCAAAGTCAAAGCGCCCCACGTGCAGGTCAGCCTGCCAAAGGGCGAGATCTCCGTGCCCAAAGCCCAGGCCGAACTCCCGGAGGGCGAGCTCACCCTGCAGGGCCCCGACGCCGAAGGCAGCCTGGACGTGGCTGCCGGCAAAGTGGAGGGCAGCGGCATGAAAATACACATGCCAAAAGTCAAGGTGCCCAGCGTGGCCTTCTCCAAGCCGACCGTCAAGGCTCCCAAAGTCGAGGCGGACGTCAGCCTGCCCAAAGTCGAGGCCAGCCTGCCAGAGGCAGAGGTCAAGGCCGGCGCCGTCGACATCAGCATCTCGGCGCCCGACATCAAGCTGCCCTCCGTGGAAGGCTCCCTTGACCTCCAGGCACCCGAGGTAGACGTGAAAGTGCCCTCCGCCGAAGGCTCGCTCGACGGAGCCGAGCTGGAAGCCACGGGCCTCAAAGGGAAGTTTAAGATGCCCAAATTCGGAGTGTCGGCGCCCAAGGCGGAAGGGCCCGAAGGCGAGGTCAGCCTGCCCACCGCTGAGGTTGACCTGCCCTCCGGCACTGTGACGGTGGCAGGGGAAGGCCCTGCACTGGGCCTCAAAGCTGACGTTGCCGGTGCCAAGACCGAAGGGGCTGGCTGGAAGCTCGAAAAGCCCTCCCTCAAAATGCCCAAAGCTGACATCAAAGCTCCCAAGGTGGACATCAGCCTGCCCTCCGTGGACGTCACCCTTCCAAAGGCCAGCGTCGAGCTGCAGGCACCCGAGGCGGCGCTCGCCCTCGAAGGGGAAGCAAAAGCCCCAGAGAAGGAGGCTACGAAGGCCAAGGACGGCAAGTTCAAAATGCCCAAGTTCGGCATGCCTTCCTTTGGCTGGTCCAGCAGCAGAGAGGCCAAGGGCACCGTGGCCGCCGACGTGGACGTGAGCCTCAAGGAGCCCCAAGTGACGGCGCCCTCGGGAGCCGCCGACGTTGAGGTGACCCTGCCCGGCGCCGAGATCCAAGCTCCTGGCGTCGAGGTGACCATCGAGACAGCCGCCGGCAGAGACGGGGAGAAAGGCCGGTTCAAAATGCCCGACGTCAAGATGCCCAGCGTCAAGCTGCCCAAAGTCAAAGCGCCCCACGTGCAGGTCAGCCTGCCAAAGGGCGAGATCTCCGTGCCCAAAGCCCAGGCCGAACTCCCGGAGGGCGAGCTCACCCTGCAGGGCCCCGACGCCGAAGGCAGCCTGGACGTGGCTGCCGGCAAAGTGGAGGGCAGCGGCATGAAAATACACATGCCAAAAGTCAAGGTGCCCAGCGTGGCCTTCTCCAAGCCGACCGTCAAGGCTCCCAAAGTCGAGGCGGACGTCAGCCTGCCCAAAGTCGAGGCCAGCCTGCCAGAGGCAGAGGTCAAGGCCGGCGCCGTCGACATCAGCATCTCGGCGCCCGACATCAAGATGCCCTCCGTGGAAGGCTCCCTTGACCTCCAGGCACCCGAGGTAGACGTGAAAGTGCCCTCCGCCGAAGGCTCGCTCGACGGAGCCGAGCTGGAAGCCACGGGCCTCAAAGGGAAGTTTAAGATGCCCAAATTCGGAGTGTCGGCGCCCAAGGCGGAAGGGCCCGAAGGCGAGGTCAGCCTGCCCACCGCTGAGGTTGACCTGCCCTCCGGCACTGTGACGGTGGCAGGGGAAGGCCCTGCACTGGGCCTCAAAGCTGACGTTGCCGGTGCCAAGACCGAAGGGGCTGGCTGGAAGCTCGAAAAGCCCTCCCTCAAAATGCCCAAAGCTGACATCAAAGCTCCCAAGGTGGACATCAGCCTGCCCTCCGTGGACGTCACCCTTCCAAAGGCCAGCGTCGAGCTGCAGGCACCCGAGGCGGCGCTCGCCCTCGAAGGGGAAGCAAAAGCCCCAGAGAAGGAGGCTACGAAGGCCAAGGACGGCAAGTTCAAAATGCCCAAGTTCGGCATGCCTTCCTTTGGCTGGTCCAGCAGCAGAGAGGCCAAGGGCACCGTGGCCGCCGACGTGGACGTGAGCCTCAAGGAGCCCCAAGTGACGGCGCCCTCGGGAGCCGCCGACGTTGAGGTGACCCTGCCCGGCGCCGAGATCCAAGCTCCTGGCGTCGAGGTGACCATCGAGACAGCCGCCGGCGGAGACGGGGAGAAAGGCCGGTTCAAAATGCCCGACGTCAAGATGCCCAGCGTCAAGCTGCCCAAAGTCAAAGCGCCCCACGTGCAGGTCAGCCTGCCAAAGGGCGAGATCTCCGTGCCCAAAGCCCAGGCCGAACTCCCGGAGGGCGAGCTCACCCTGCAGGGCCCCGACGCCGAAGGCAGCCTGGACGTGGCTGCCGGCAAAGTGGAGGGCAGCGGCATGAAAATACACATGCCAAAAGTCAAGGTGCCCAGCGTGGCCTTCTCCAAGCCGACCGTCAAGGCTCCCAAAGTCGAGGCGGACGTCAGCCTGCCCAAAGTCGAGGCCAGCCTGCCAGAGGCAGAGGTCAAGGCCGGCGCCGTCGACATCAGCATCTCGGCGCCCGACATCAAGCTGCCCTCCGTGGAAGGCTCCCTTGACCTCCAGGCACCCGAGGTAGACGTGAAAGTGCCCTCCGCCGAAGGCTCGCTCGACGGAGCCGAGCTGGAAGCCACGGGCCTCAAAGGGAAGTTTAAGATGCCCAAGTTCGACAAGCCCAAATTCGGAGTGTCGGCGCCCAAGGCGGAAGGGCCCGAAGGCGAGGTCAGCCTGCCCACCGCTGAGGTTGACCTGCCCTCCGGCACTGTGACGGTGGCAGGGGAAGGCCCTGCACTGGGCCTCAAAGCTGACGTTGCCGGTGCCAAGACCGAAGGGGCTGGCTGGAAGCTCGAAAAGCCCTCCCTCAAAATGCCCAAAGCTGACATCAAAGCTCCCAAGGTGGACATCAGCCTGCCCTCCGTGGACGTCACCCTTCCAAAGGCCAGCGTCGAGCTGCAGGCACCCGAGGCGGCGCTCGCCCTCGAAGGGGAAGCAAAAGCCCCAGAGAAGGAGGCTACGAAGGCCAAGGACGGCAAGTTCAAAATGCCCAAGTTCGGCATGCCTTCCTTTGGCTGGTCCAGCAGCAGAGAGGCCAAGGGCACCGTGGCCGCCGACGTGGACGTGAGCCTCAAGGAGCCCCAAGTGACGGCGCCCTCGGGAGCCGCCGACGTTGAGGTGACCCTGCCCGGCGCCGAGATACAAGTGGCTGGTATTGATGTTGGATTAGGTACAACCTCAGTTAAGGAGGAGGCTGTTACTAAAACGAAATCTTCTTTGTTTAGAATTCCTAAGGTTTCCCTTCCTAAAAGTACTAAGCAGCATCTACCGAGTAAGTCTGTTATGGAAGTTTCTGAATCAGAATCTAGTTGTTATTCTGTAACAGAGGAATCTCCTGCTGTGATTTCAGGTGGTCTTGATTCTAATTTGTTTTCTGATATTAAGGGAGATAATGCTCCCAAAAGTAGCAAGTTTAGAATTCCTAGTTTGGGTTTCTCTAAGGTTGATATTAGTTCTTCTAAATTTGAGCAGGATTCACCTTTATCAAAGGGGGATGTTACTCTTACTAAATATCAAATGAATATTGGAGAATCTGAATCAGATTTTGAAATTTTGAATGAAGATGGTTCTTGGGAGGAAGGAATTATGAAGTCAGGAATGAAAACACCAACTGCTGAAATATCTCTTGCACACACAGAATATACAGTTAAAATACCTAAATTCCGAAAACCAAAGTTCGGAATTTCTTGGTCTAAGGGAAAGCCATCAGAAAGTGACGTTGTTTCCAAAGTGGAATCTGAAATTGCCAAGGAAAAGATAGCATCTGATATGTTTGATATTGATATTGAATATCCATCTCAGATTCCTGATGCAGAATTAAGTCTAAAGTTACAAAAGCCTTCACCCGAATGTGTTACGGATGCAGCGAAGTTGGATGTCAGTCTCCCATCAACAGAAGATGCCATGCCAGAATTAGAAATGGAAATCCATGGTCCAAAGTGCAAGACAGAGCAGGAATTAATTTCAGGAGAGAAGGACATGGAGGAGAAAGAAAGCAAATTTAAAATGTCAAAATTCAAACTACCTTCATTTAGTTGGTCACCAAAGAAAGAAGCTATTGCTCCTTCTGAAGCTGAGGGACATCTGGAAGAATCCAATGTGTCTATTTCATCTGGAGACACAGAATCTAAGTTAACACTAATTATCCCTGAGAATCAACACCTTCATATGGAATTGGATACAGCAACAGAAAAAGATGGTGAAAAGGGAAAAAACAAGAAGTCCCAATTTATCATGCCAAAGATCTCACTCCCTAAAGTGAAAGGTCAAAAAGTCCAGGTCTCTCTGCCCGTACTAGAAACTGATGTATGTGACCCCAAGCAAGAAAAAGACGGAGATGTTTCAGTACAGGAATCTGAGAAAAGGAGTAGTGGAGAAAGGGCAGAAATGGGTGTAAAAATGCCAAAAGTTAGAGTTCCAACTTTGGAATTTTCCAAACCAGAAGTCAAAGCTCCCAAAATAGAGGTGGATATTAGCATGCCTACAGGTGAGATCATACTTCCTGTGTGTGAACAGGATGGCTTAACATTGAAATCAGTTGTTGATGATACCAGCCTCTCTATCTCAGATACTAAGATGATAGCTAAAGGCTCCTTTGAGGTGAAGAGTTCTGAGACAAGTACTGAAAGTGAAATTGCTGTGGGGGGTGTAGAAATAAAAGCTGAAGGTTCTGAAGGGAAAACAAAATTGTCTAAATTCCAAATGCCAAAGTTTGGCATGACACATTCTAAAGGAAAAGGGTCAGAAAAGGAGGTCAGCCAATCCAAATCAGAAGCCATGGTTTCCCAACTAAAAGCAATGATAGAAATAGCTGATGTTGCTATGGAAGCACCAAATTTGGAGGTGGAATGTGGTGCAGGAACAGAAACATCCAGCCCTAAATTCAAAACAACCGAAGCTGACAATAAGGCACCAGAAGTTGATGTTCACCTCCCATCAGGTGACATTTCTATCCCAAAGACAGACAGCGATATTCAGGATTCAGATACAGCACTAAAAAATAAAGAGGAAATAAAGCGTGCAGATGGAGATGGAGAAGAGAAAGAAGGACATTTCAAAATGCCAAAATTCAAACTTCCATCCTTCAATTGGTCACCAAAGAAGGAAACAACTGTTAAGCCAGATTCTGGAGCAATTTTGGAAGATAATAAACTTGCTGCAAAGTCAGGCAGAACAGACACTGAAGTGGGAGGAACTGCAAGTGATGATCAAGATCCTAGGCCAGCCCTTGATCTAGAAATATCTGCAGGAAAAGATGAACAGAAAAGTCCAATTAAAAAGCCTCAGTTTGTCATGCCTAAAATTTCACTTTCCAAGATCAAGGTTCCCAAATCGCAGACACACTCACCAAAAGTTGAAGCTGGTGCTACTATTCCTAAAACACAAAAAGATGGAGACGATTCAATACAGATACCTGATATAGAAAGAAGTCATTCCAAAAGGACAGAAGAAGGGGCACAAATCAGCATAAAACCAGCTGCAGTTAAGATCTCCACGTTGGAGTTTTCCAAAACAGAAACTGGAGCCTCCCAGACTGACAAGGGAGTCATCTCAGCAAAGATTGATGCTGCTGTGCCTGCCTCAGAGGGGAGTTTTCAACAGGTTGTCCTAAAACCAAGTTCTGATGATGATTTCATTCAAAAAACGGGTATTAAGTACTCCAAAGGAGATACTGCAATTGAACTGAGGAGCCCTGAAACAGCAACTGAAGGATCATTAGTTATGGATGAAAGAAGGATGAAAGTGGAAGGTCCTGATGGGAAGATTAAAATGCCCAAATTCCAGAAGCCAAAGTTTGGAATCTCCCTGACAAAAGGGAAAGGCCCAGAGTCAGAGATCAGTTCTCCAAAAATAGAAGCTGAGCTACCCCAGCTGAAAATGACAACAGAAATTGCTGACATTGCTGTGGGAGTGCCAGCATCAGAATTTACATCTGATACACCAGATCCTGGATTAGGGATTTATGCTTGTAAAGCAAAAACACCTCAAGTTCTGACAGCTGGCACTGAAGCTCCAAAGGTAGACATAAGCCCCAAGGCAGTGTCTAAATCAATGACAGAGGAAGATATTGAGAGCCCTGAGGAGAAAGAGGTCAAATTAAAAGAAGAACATGAAATTAAAGCTGAAGAAGTTCAGACTGAAGAACAACAGGGATGGTTTAAAATGCCAAAATTCAGAATACCTGCATTTGGCCGGACATCCTCAAAGGAAAAAAAAGGTGATGCTGATGTTGAAAGAAGTCTGGAAAAAACTCAGGCAGGCATTCCCTCTTCCAAAGAACACACTGAAACAAGTATTCCTGAAGATAACTTCTCATTACCACATGCAGTTGCTGAAATTACTATTGGAAAAGAAGGGATTCAAAAATTAGGAGAATCTGTGAAGGGTTCTGGTGTTAGCTTGCCAAAGATGGAAGGAGATATTTCATTATCTGCAGAAAGTACAGATAGTAGAGCGAATATTCCAAAAACTGAAACATATGCAGACATAGTTAAGCGTGGTGCTGAAGGACAAAAAATGCACACTTCAGAATTCGTAGTGTCTTCAACAGAATTAACTAAACCAGAAATAAGTGTTTCAAAAATTGACAGAGACAGCAGTTCACCAAGTAAGCTCCCTATATGCACTCTGTCTCTTCAAGAGCATAAAGTCAAATCACAGGATACAGAGATCCCAAAGACTGAAAGTACCACTGAACTAGAGGCTTCAAGTGCAGAATTTAAAACATCATCAGCTGAAATTACTCTGGACGGAACACAGGACAGAGCAGATGTTAGTCTTTCAAAGGGAGAGCTAGACATTCAAAATCAAGGGGCAGTGATTAGTACAGGAAAGATAAAGACAGGTGAGATGAAAATTATAGGAAAAGACAGTGAGTTAAAATGGCCCTCGTGTGAATGGTCTACAACAAATGTTGTAGCTAAGCTGGAAGATATAAAGGTAGAAGTTCCAGGTGTGAAAATGGATGTTAAAATTGCCAGAGTAGATCCTGAAATGAAATTTCAAGTGAAAAAAAGTGTTGAAAAGGACATGTCTGCAAATGTGGAAGAGCAAGTAGAAGACAGAGCAGAAACAAGTAAAATTAAAGCATACAAGTTTAAGATTCCAAAGTTCGGAGTGTTGCACTCAGAAGTAAAGGGTTTAAAAGATGATATCAATTTGCCAAAGTCAGAAGCCATTTCAGTGTCTGAAACTGAAATAGGCACAGCAGAAATGCAGTTTCAAAAATTGGAAGGATCCATTGGCCTGACAAGTCCAACTCGAGATCAGATGGACTCATCTGCTAGAATAACAGAGGAAACGATGGACAAATCACAAGATGGCCTGGAAGTAAATATAAAAATTCCCAAGCTAAAAATACCGAGATTCACTTTCAAAGCTCTCCCAACTGAAGCTGATGTTTCAGTGTCGAAAGTAGTACTGGATCAAAAAAGAACTATTTCTGACATTGAAGTGGTGCATCTGCAAGCAAGTTCTGCTGTCCTTGAAGAAACTCCAGAGACTCTAGAGGGCAATATTCAAAAAGCAAAGAGCAAAATTCTAACTCTGACTGAACCTGACATTAAAACAGCACAGATGACTGCTACCATAGATTCCTCCCTTTCAAATGCAGGGCAAGACATTCATTGGTCATATGTAGAAGGCCAAGAAGTGAGTGAGATAGTAGAACCTGAACATGTTGCTATTGAAAGGTGTGAAATTTATACTACTGAGATAGTGAAAGAATCAGAGATTCTTTCATCTGAAGTTAAAACTGCTACCTTGGGATTCTCATTGCTCAAGGTGAAGTTGCCTGAATCACACAGTGATTTAGAAGTGTTAGTCCAGGAGCCATCTTCAGTGGAAGATGCATCAATGGAATGTTCTGGTAAAAGCTTTGGAGCAGATGTACAGAGGCCTGGCAGTGCTGAGATTAAACCATGTGATAAACCTCACACTGAGACTGAAGGATCTAGTAGAGTGATAGGTTTGCCAAAGTTAAAAACATTTGCCGTTGAAGTAGAGCCCTCTGGTAAACCTGAGGAGAGTCATCCTGACAAGTCACCAGAGGAAATAACCACAGCTCCTCTCTCTAAAGATGAGGATGTAGCTGAAGCTCTAGAAGACGAGGAAAAATACATAACTAATGAAAAAGAAAAGACTGATAGTAAAAGATCTCCTGGAAGATTCAAATTTTGGCTTCCAAGTATTGGCTTTTCATCTTCTGGTGATGAAACAAGCTCAGACTCAAAAACAGAAGTAAAAAAAATAGAAGAAATGAAACCAGAAGATATGAAACCAAGTGACACATCTGTTAGTGATTCTTCTAAGCAAACAGAAAAAACTGGATGGTTTAGATTTCCCAAGCTTGGTTTCTCGTCTCCTTCCAAAAAAGCTAAGACCGTTGACAAAGAAGAGATAGGTCATAAAGAGAGAAGAATCTCAGATGAAGATAGCCCATCAGATAAACCTGAAGTATTTTTCGATGCACAAGAAACCTTATCACCCAAAGAAACAACAGAGGGTGAAAAAGTTGAAATTGATGGGACCTCATCTAATGTTCCAGTGTCTCGAACTATAGTTACATCTTCAGCAAGGACTGAACTAATCTTGTTGGAGGAAGAAAAAGATAGCCAATCTAATATTTCTGGAGAGACAACCAAATGAAGATTGTCTTCTCTCAACACCCTCAGTGAAAATAAAATAATCTATACAGAAAAAAGAAAAAGAGAGAGAGAGAAAAAAAAAAAAAAAGAGAGAGAAAGAGAAAAAAAGAAACAATGTTTTCCTGATTTTCCAGTAGTCAAAAATTGAACGAAACTCAAAGTTGATATTTATGAAATCTATTGACTGAACAGGATTTACCACATCTAAATCTTCAGACACATGAATGTGCTGTACTGTGCAGTAATAAAAATACTATTTTATCCAAATCTGCCCCGAAGGCAACAACTACTACAAGTACAGGGAAGTTCATAGTTTTAGTAAAGTCTTAGAAGATACCTGAACCATGAAAGTAAACTATTGAAAACACTCAATGACAACATACAAACTTGTTAAATATGCTTCTCAAAACAATGCCAGTTATGATTAGATTATAGATTATTTGCAAACAGAGTATAAACTAGTACTATGAGAATTATACTTACCTGTTTAGATTTTGGACATTTCTGACCTATTTTTGCTTTCTTACTAAACTATTCTTCTTTATTTCAGCTAAGGTAATGCATATATTCCACAGTCATTTAAAAATGCAAAATGAAAACAAAATACTAGTGTAGAGAGACTAAGTCTTTACCCCTTCCTCTCTTCTCATTTTTGATTACTGTGGTGGGTCATATTTAGCCTTAAAAGGTCAAAAATAAATCAATAAATAAATAAATTCAAGACCAAAAAAATATTTCACATTTTAAGGTACCAAAATAAAACATGGTGGTAAAGAATAATTATAAAAATTTGGATAAATAAATTTTTATGTGTATATTTACTGGATAGATAAATGCACAGAATGATCTGCCACACTTTGGTGGAATTGCTTCAAAGATTTTCTGGGAAAGGAGATGTATATAATTATTTACCTCTGTTTATATTAATGCTTCTCTAAAGTGCACAGCCAAAACCAGAGTGCATATGTGACAGCCTTCATATGTATCATTAAAACACTGTCTGTATTCTTAATTCACAATAAACTCACCATATGAAAAATAAAACAAGTACCATGAATTACTGATAGTGCCATTAGCATTTTCTAGTTCTGAAAACTGCAGCTGAAAACCCCAGGTTTGATTTGCAGGTTTGATTGTATCCCACTCTATGCTCCTCAGTGACTGCTTAATGGCAGTACAGTTTCTAAATATGATGGCAGTGGTTACAAATTAATCTGAGACTTTTCACCCATTACAATCCCAAATTTTACAATTTGCATGTGCAGTCATGCATCTTTATTTTTTTTCATCCTGTCTTTTCTCATCCTTTTCTCATCCTGTCTTATCTATCTCTATATTCTACTTCATACAGGGAATGCAGACATAGCAAAACATTCAGAAATTGAGTTATCATGGAAGCGTACTTGTTTGTGTAACCATTTGTAGCTCAAGATATTCTCCATGTCTGCATCTTCATGGTAGTCTTAAATATTCTACAGACCTTCTGGAAGCCTGTGTTCCTCATATTATCTCTGAAGAGACTGTTGACATAAGTAGTAGGCCTGTATGTGGATCATGCAGCATTTCCCCAAAGTTTCTCTAAGTTTATGTGTCATTGTTGAAAAGACTCGAAGTTACCACATCAGACAACATATACGAGGACTGAAGAAGAGCATTGTGATCACGCCAGAAAAACTGAGACCAGAAAAACGTAATATACGTAATAAAGGACATCCCATTGTAACAGCAGTTCTCATCTGCCTGAAAGGCAGCCTTCACGTAAAAAGTTTCTCAGGTAGTGTCCCTTAACTTAGGCACACAGAAAGAAATCCACCTTGACAGCACCACCTCTAGGAGTCTGTCATGATGGTGAAAGAATGAGGTCAATTAAAACTGAGCTCTGAGACAGCAATGACCACAGAGCAATACTCTCTATTATGTTATTAAAAGTTGAATGAAGTAGATGAGGAAAGAACAATAGAGAAAAGAAGCAGCAATAAAACCTTTCTCCAATAGGCTACTGTCAGCTTGGTGAAAGTGAAGGTTAGGAAAAAAACAACCATGTTAACAAAGTATTTCCCAATGGTCTGAGTGCAGGAATAGCTAAGGACAGAGCTTAAAAGAGTGCAAGGAGCACAGACACAAGTCTGCAAAACACTGACATCTTGTCAACAGGCTCCTGTGTTTCTGACCCCACCTATTTTTTGACTCTCAGGCTGTTTCCTTAACTATGGTAGGTTTCTTGGGATACTGCTGTTCATTTTTTAATGCTGGAAAATTGGGCTGTTCAGCTAAACATCTATGTGCAGTCTCCAGCCACACAAACCTAGAACTACAATTTGGCATGGAAAGGGAGCTATAAATACATTAAAAAGAAGCACATGTATGTCGCCGTTCCTTCTCTCCCACCCCAGTATCCTTCATTGTTGGGACATAAATACATGACTATTAGCTGGCTATTTTGCTGTTATATTTCCTAGAAACACAGAATCACAGAATGGTTTGGGTTGGAATGGACCTTAAAGATCACCTAGTTCCAACCCCGTGCCATGGGCAGGGACACCTCCCACCAGACCAGGCTGCCCAAAGCCCCATCCAGCCTGGCTGTGAGCACATCTAGGGATGGGGCATCCACAGCTTCTCTGAGCAACCTGTGCCAGTGCCTCACCACCCTCTGAGTGAAGAATTTCCTCCTAACCTCTAGACTAAATTCCTCACTTTTAGTTTAAAACCACTCCCCCTTCTCCTATCACTACCTGCCCGTGTAAAAAAGTCACTCTGCATCTTTTTCATGTCTCCTGTTTGAAGTATGACCTCTGATATCCCAAAGGCAAGACAGCCAAAGTTAATCCTGAATGAGAAAACAGAGGCCAAGGAGCCAGTGCCCCTGATGAAAGAGCTAGCAGTTGTTGAAAAATTTATAACTATCAAAAAATTAGGATCAGAAACAGATAATAGAAAAGTTTGGGATGAAGCTGATGTATAATGCATGAGTTCAAGTAACTTTGTTGTCTTGTCCAAACGCATAAAGCTATGGAGCCTGCTAGGTACTGCATGGCTATCATCTGCATGGCTGTCAGCAGTGCTATAGCCACAAGGCCTTGCACCGAGCCAAGTGTCCTCAGAAACTTGCTGGGACAGCAGGGCAGAAGCTCTACATGAAATCCTCTCAAATAAAGGCAGGTCAGTTAGCTAAAGATGTACTTCATCACAGGTAGGTGAGAGGAGCTGGGTCTAGCAGACTACCATGCTCAAGACCCAAGCCAGGAATTTTGCCTAGGCCTACCCAAGTAGACCAGCACTGAGCAATATCTGAACTGTCTGTGGCCAGGGCTTAGTTGACCTCCAAACTAGAAAAATCCATCCAAGCCTAACACATAATAATTAATGAATTGTGAAGTGCAATAATGAATTACACTTGGGAAAATCCTTACTTTGAGGAAATCACGATCTGAATGAAAGAGACAAGCAATAGATGGGTTGATAAGGACTATCACTATCCCTGTCTCACACATGGAAAATACTGAGAGATGCAAGGCCAGGTTATAATTTACACCATGTTTTACCTTTGTAATAGAGTACAAATAACGTGTAGCTACCAAGAGGCCCCAAAAGACTTATATAAAAAAAAGGAAACTACACCCAAGTTCATCTGAAATCCAGTTCATTGCCTTAATTGCAAAGCCCTCCTTTGTATGTGGAGGAAAACAAAACAAAAACAAACAAACAAACAACAACAACAAAACAAACAACAGGTGATGGCAGAAAATAAAATAGCACCCTTGAAGGCATCAATTTTTCCTTTATAAGTTGAACCTTATCCCAGAGGATTCTTGTATTACCAAGATACAAGCTTCACAACCTGTCCAGAGACTTTGCCCCACTGAACAACTTACCATTACTGTCTGATTGGAGCTCAAAAGGGGAAGAAAAAGTTTTCTTCCTTTTCCTGCTAAACTTGCCTTGGAAAAAAAGTGAAAACGTAGCTTCGAGTGCCATCTAGAGGAGAGCATTGCTCTACAGAAAGTAGCTTCGTTGATGTTCATGAACACATTAACTTCTCAAAAAGCTTTTCAAATTCTCCCACCATTCACATGTGCTGCTTGTATTGGGAAAAATCCGTCCAGATGTTTTTCCTGCACACAATTATTAATACAGTGTATGGCCAGATGTATTTCTTGGTACAGGTTGAGAAACTTGTGAAGCTAATGAAAACCCGAACTGGGAAATTCTACTGTGCAAGAAATTTTAATTAGTGAATGGATATCTCAAATTTTTAAGCAGACTCTAGAAAATAAATGGGAGAGGAGTGCATTGCAAGCAACTGTATCTCCTCGGTATGTTAACATGTATGTGAATATACAGTGTGATCAGTAGATATAACTACATGTCTTAAAAAATATGCCTTATTAACAACAAACAGTGGCTTGTAGTGATGGATTAAACAGTCCAAGGAATCTCAGTCCTAGTTCAGCTCCACCTCTCATCACAGCTTGGCCCCCATCTTGCTTACTACAGGAGGCCAATGCACAGATATCCAAGCACACCAGACACGCAATCCAGGGCAGCTGAGCTGGAAGCTGATCCCAAGATTTAAATCCTAGGTATTTAACTCCAGTGATGAGCCTCAGCATTTAAATACAGGTGCTTCCTTGTACCTCTAATGCCTAAATGCTTTCAAATATCCTCCCTTGCTGCTGTAGGTGATTACTTGCAGTACTCAAACCTTATAGTAGCCAGAACTTTATTTTTAAACACATGTAAGAAAACACTGTTAGTGGAATATTAGGGCTGAATATATAGCATCCTAAGACAGCACAGCAATAATGACCTGCTTCTCCGATGTATTCAGATCTGGTTATGTCTTCCATGTTTGCTTTAATATCAGACAGCTTGTCTTATACTGCATGCGTTTCATTAACTCTGAGATGGGGTAATCATACACAGCAAAGAAAATGTCACACGCTGACTAATGAGTAGGCAGGTAGACTCAACTATGAGAAGTTCTAACATCATCAGGCAGCATGGATACCACAAATAATAAATTTCTCTGACAAAGACATAAAACAGAAAGCTCCTTGTTTTGCACAGGGAACAAGATTAATATGTATTTTTCTTTCTATTTTAAATGCATACTTCAGTTCACTTCAGAGACTGTCTCTCCAGTTACAGTCTTTCTGTCCTTGCACATCTTCTAGATTCACTGAATATTTGGAATTCCAGTCACGCTCAAAAAGGGTTTTTAATTGTTCCTGGATAGGCCTTCTTCGCAGGTTGGTTGAATTCTGCTTGATAATTAGTCCCACACCAGCTGTGTTAGTGAAGTAATCTTCTGACCAATTGGAAGTCCCTGTGTAGTGGAAAAGGAGCTAATTAGAAAACATCCATTTTCCAATGTTTTGTTTGATCTCTGGACTTGTTAAGTATACATTGCCTTGCTCTGCTGATTTGCTGTACAACTGCAAATCTCATTAGGGCTAACTGAGCAACAAAAATCAGGTCACCTCTTTCTTATTCCAGACCTCAAGTTTTGGAAAGACCGTGTTAACTGCCACTCTGAAGCTTCACAGCAATCTGATTTCTTAGTGTGTGGCAGAGATGTGTGCATCTGCTTGAATAAATATGGGAACAGAGCGCAGCATTTGGGTATTATGAGGGGGCTAAAGCTGGTGTTTGATACGGGTTTCTGCATAGAGAAGAGGAGAATCTTCAATGTACTTAATTCTCTCTTTATCTATGAGGCAGTATGCTACCAGTAAAATAACCTCAAGCACTTTGTATACTATCAGAAGCAAAGGACTAGCAACAAATGAGCTTCAGAGTGGGTCTTCACTTGTTAAAGGAAAATAAGAGGAGAAACTGGATCCTAGATTAAATCCTCAGGAGCTGTTCTGAGCTCAAAATGCAAAGCCTGCTTTTAAACCAGGCAAAGTTGGGAATCTGGCTGTAAATGTTGCCTAGGGCTCTCTCCAAAGCCACCAGCATTCAGAAAAGCAAATATTACGAAAAAATACATATTTTAACACTTAGCATTTTTTTCTGGTGCTTGCCTTAGCCAGAAAAATCTACTATCAATTC